TTGCCCCTCCAAGTGCAGTTTCGAGGAAGCAGAGACAATTAAAAGCAGCTGTGGGCGCCCCGAGCGCGCCCGGCGGGCTCCGGAGACTCGCGGCCACGGCCTTTTGGTGGCGATTATGAGATTTTCACCGAGACCTAGGTCTTCCTGCAAGGTTGCATTTTTGTAAATCTTGTAGAAAGAATAAATACATTTAGTCACGGCAGTCTCAGGTTAATCCTTTCAAGCGCTTTGCCGAGATCCAGCCGCAAATATTTGTATGCATCTCTACATGTAAACATACATATTTTACGTTAGAGAAAACTGCAGGGAGCTAAAAGACTCATAAAATGATGAGGAGGGATGCTTTTTTTAAAAAGCCTTAGCGCGGATTTCTTTTTAAGCGCCCCAAAGTGTTAGGCGCTGAGAAAACGGACAATCTGTTGATAATCAGAGCGAGAGAAGTTTAAGTTAAAATGGGAAAGCACATTGTCTACAGCTGAGTAACGTTCCTTAAACGAACGAGACACATTTGTATTTGAAGGCTAACATTCAGTATAGTTTAGTAACATTGCTACAGGTTATTTTATACAGAGAGAATAAGTAAAAATTTGGCTCATAGATGACAGGGTGGCAGGGATCTTACTGTGTTTATTCCTACAAATAAACAAAATTGGAGCACATTGAGATTTTACTTTTTTATCAGAAATAAAATATTGACCATTAGATACATGAATGAATGAACTGCAGATTTCCAACAATGAAAAATATTTTTCTAGGAACTTGGGGGAACACAATTATATTTTAGGATGTGCACCCTTTTCTTCAAGATAGACTAATATCAGGATTTCTTATGTTTCCTAGAGTACTGTTGTTGTGACCACTGAACTGTCAAATTCTTAGCTTTATTTTACTCCAGAAAAGTTACTTCACCTTTCCCAAAAAGTAAGATTGAAAATCAGTATAGATGGTAGGGAAATTTCAAGTTTATAAATTATCCCAAGACTATTGAACAAGTTTGAACCAATTGATTTTTTTATTTCAAAATGTTAACCAGTATTTTCTTTTTGTAAATAATTTTAAAAGCTTTAGTATTATTTTTATCATAAGTAATTTTTATTTATTGTACAAAATTCAGGGGAAAATACTCTAGAAAACTGGCAAAAAAAGCTCACCTGTAACCTCTTCATTCTAAGATAACCCCAGTAAACATTATGGAGTTTACTTTTTCAGACTTTCTTTAACTAGTACATATTTTGCAGAGGTGCATATATATAATTTCTAAAATTAAAAATGGAATCAAAGTAATTTTTCTCTATTTTCTTTTCAAAGAGACTTAACTGTCAAATAGCATTACATTTTCAGAGACTTTTAGAAAGGAAATAATATTAATTACATTTTTTAATTAAAAATTTTAATGAACATTAGTACATAAAGATTTATAACCAGAGAACTGAGAATTTTCTCTGATTTCACTGTGCTAACATACACATAGTTATCATTTTTGTATATTTCCTTGCACTGTTTATTCCTCTACATATGAAATAATTTTAACTTTGCCTTAGAAACAGACTTTCCAAGGGAAAAAACAACATCAGTAGGTAAGTAGTTTTGATTAATCTTTCTTATCTAAAACAAAATGTTAAAAATAAAAACAAAATACAAGGTTAATAGACAATACTTTAGATAACATTTTTGTTATTTAAAACAACAAAACAACATTAAACCCTACCTCCCAAATTAATAAAGAATTTTAAACACTCTTTTGACATTTAAAATCATACGTGAATTTTGGATTTTCTCAGGTATTTGTTCCCAGTGTTGACTGTTTCTTACCTGTTTTGCACAAGAGTTCATGTAAAAGCAAAAGAGTTGCTAATGTGCAGTATCTATTTTATCAAATAATAACTGGGCATTGTATTTGCACATTTTAATCCATCTTAATGAAAGTTTTCTGTGGGTCTATGAAGCTGTTGATTTACTACCTATGTTTAACTTCTAGTTTAGTAGGGAAATTGTATTTCAAAACAAAGTGGAATTTTCATTTGTCAAATAATAAGTGGACTTTCTAGTTGGACATTTTATCTACTTTAAATGATAATTTGCTATGGGTCTGTGAATCTGCTGATTTACCTCATAAATTTGGCTTAACTTTTAGTATGGTGGGAGAATTTATTTCTAAGCAAAGTAAAATTTTCAGTGGTCAGACATTAACTAGACTTAGTATTTGATCATTTTATCCATTTACTGTAAGAGTTTGCCATAAATCTAAAAGCTGTTGATTTACCTCATACATTTAGCTTTAATTCTAGTATGGTTGACAAATTGTATTTCTAAGCAAAGTGGAATTTTCACGTGTCTCTAATGAAAAAATACTGGTAAGAGACAACCTCAAAGAGAGAAAAATAACATGTATCCAGTTTCTAACACTGGCTTTCCACTGATGAAAACCATGCTCTAACCAAAATGCTGAAACAATGAAGGAACCCTGACATGTTAAAATTTCTCAATCAGATATTCAAATTGCTTGGGATTCTGATATGTGCAGTATTTATAGATCACATCTTCTCCAAGCTAACTAGTCACTTTGTTCCTTTTTCTTTTTTACTAACTGACCACACTTAGTCTATCCAGCCCCTTTTCTTTAAACTCGCTCTTACCTCAGTTCTAAACACCAGTGCAAATTCTATTGCTGATTCTGCTCTTAGTGTTAAAAGGGACTCTCGGTGAATAGATGATATGGGTGTATGTGTCCGTTAGAGATTCTTAGGCTGCAGCTCTGTTTCAGACAGGAGCTTCACAGAAATATTATCATGATGATTTTGGGTTTTTTCCCATTCTTTCCAACGAGCAGAGACAGAGAGACAGACATGACAGACAGACAGACGCACAGACGCAAAAACATCCAGTCTTTTCCTAAACTTCAGGATTCAGTCTGCTATCTCCCTGATTTCCAGAAATATTAAACCACACACAGCAATGCAAAATAAAAATTAAAAAAAGAAGCTGGTGTTTCTAAGGATCAACAAGTCTTTTCAAATGACTTTTTTTTTTTTTTCTTCCTGA